GTGGGAGGTCTGGGTTATCAGGAGCAGGGTGGGGAAGGCTGGTAGGAGGCAGGTAGGAGGGAGAGACAGGCAGGCGGCCCCAGAGGGCAGTGGGCACACAAGCCGAGAGGTCTGGACTGTGGTGGCGTTAGGAGACAACTGCAGGTTTAGGCAGAACTTGAGGGGAAGAGAACAGATTTTGTGGCTGCCAGGGGCTCAGGGTGGGGGTTAGTGGGTGACTTGAAGGCGGAAAAGCAGTTTTGAGAAGGGTTGACGAGTTCTGTAACTTGACTGTGATGGTGGATCAGTGGACAACTCTTTGAATTTTTCAACATTCATAGGAATGTATGGCAAAAAAGTAGTTTTTGTCTATGCAGATTGAAAACTAAATGTAAAACTTGTAAAAGAAAAAATTCAAATCATTCTTCCTATCCAATAGATTGTATTTCTGTGTCTGCACTGGTGACCTTGTGGTGGATCTTCACATGTTCAACTCAGAGTGAAAAGTATCACTGGAAATTGTCAATTTTTAAAATCTAACTGGGCATGGTGGTTCACTCATGCCTGAAATCCCAGCACTTTGGGAGGCAGAGGGGAGAGGACTGCCTGAGTCCAGGGATTTGAGACCAGCCTGGGCAACTTGGCAAAACCTTGTGTCTACAATAAATCAAAAAATTAGCCAGGAATGGTGGCACATACCTGTTTTTCCAGCGACCCGGAAGCCTGAGGCAGAAGGATCGCCTAAGCCCAGTGGGTCAAGGCTGCAGTAACCCGGGCAACAGAGTGAGACTTTGAATCAAAAAATAAAAATAAATAAACTATAACCTTACTCTTTTTATGAGATAGGTATTTTGTTTTATTTTTTTCTTCATTTTGACAGCATTAGGGGGTACAAATAGTTTGGGTTACGTGGTTGCATTGTATAGTGGCCAAGAAGTCTGGGCTTTAAGTGGACTCATCACCCCCATCTGTGCATACTGTTCCCAGTAGGTGACTTTTTGTTCTTCTTTCCCTTCCTGCCTCCCCCTTCTGAGTCTCCATTGTCCGTTATACCAGGGGTTCTCAGCCCCTGACCAGTTCTGCTCCGTGGAAGGTTAAGAACCAGGCCACACAGCAGGCTGTGAGTGACCGGCAAGTCAGCAAAGCTTCGTCTGTATTTCCAGCCACTCTCCATCACTTGCATCACCACCTGAGTTCCGCCTTCTGTCAGATCCTCTGCAGCATTAGATTCTCATAGGAGTGGGAACCCTCCTGTTGTGAACTTGGCGTGCGTGGGATCTAGGACGTACGCTCCTTACAAGAATCTCGTGCCTGATGATGGGGCTGGGGCAGTGATGCCAGTGCTGGAGAGTGGTTGCAAATACAAATTAATATTAGCAGTGAGGTTTGACTGCACAGAGACCACAATGCATCAATTGCTCGCAGACTCATATCAAAACCCTACCTGTGAGTGGCAAGTGAGTTGATGCGCTTCAATGGTACAGCTGCATCTGGTGGTAGGCTTTAAGTCAGAATCCGGACCTTATTTGAGTCTGTGTGTTGTCCACCCATTACTTTATTTACCACTTCCATCTGCGCTTCTTTTTTTTTTTTTAATGGGAGTTGTATATTGATTATATGTTAAAATGTACTAGAAATAGAAATAAAGTGCACAATAAATGTTATGCACTTGAATCATCCTGAAATCATCTGCCCCACCCCCCAGACTAGGGATAAATTGTCTTTCACGAAACTCGTCCTCATGCCAAAAAAGTTAGGGACTGCTGCATTATACCATCATACCATTCTATCTGCCTTTTCATATCCTTAGTTGAACTTCCACTTGTAAGTGACAACATGTGGGTTTGGGTTTTCTGTTCCTGAGTTAGTTCACTTAGGATGATGTTCTCCAAACTGATCTTCTACACTGTATGACTTCTGTTTCACTAATTCTGTCTTTAATATTTTCTTCCTTCTCTTTTCTTTGGGTTTGTTCTACTTCTTTTCCAAACTTTTGATGTTAGACACTTCCTTCATTAATTTTAAGCCTTTTTTTTCTTTTTTGACTCGGAATCTCACTCTGTTGCCCAGGCTGGAGTGCAGTGTGGCATGTTCACAGACACCCCAGCATCAACCTGCTGGGCTCTGGCGATCCTCCCACCTCAGCCTTCTAAGTAGCCAGAACTGCAGGTGCTTGATACCACGGCCGCTAATTTTTGATTTATTGTAGAGACAAGGTCTCGCCAAGTTGTCTGGGCTGGTCTCAAATCCCTGAGCTCAGGCAATCCTCTTGCCTCGGCCTCCCAAAGTGTTGGGATTACAGGCTTGAGCCATAGCGCTCAGCCTAAGTTTTTGATTTATTGTAGAAAAGCTGACTCGCCAAGTTGCCCAGGCTGATCTTGAAATCCTGGACTCAGGTGATTCTCTCGCCTCTGCCTCCCAAAGTGCTGGGATTATAGGCAAGAACCACAGTGCCCAACTTTTCTTTTCAAATGTCAGCATTTAAGTCTATGGAGTCATTTTCAAGTGCCATTTTAACTATACTCCAAAATTTTGATGTGCATTATTTCCAGTATTTTTTAGGTGTATTTTAAATTTCCATTTTGATTTCTTTTTATACCAATGAGTTATTTATTTTTTGAGACAAGGTCTCCCAATGAGTTATTTAGAAGTCATTTAACATTACCTGCAAAAAGATGGAGGGATTTTAGTTGTTTTTTAAACTGAAGAGTAATTTAACTGCATGGGCAGAGCATGTGGTCACTATAATACTAGTCCTCTAAAATTCATTGATTTGAATTCAAGCTTCTTAGTGAGACAAGAAAATAAATAAAAGTTGACCAGGCATGGTGACTCATGCCTGTAATCCCAGCACTTTTGGAGGTGAAGGCAAGAGAATTACCTGAGCCCCGGGGTTCAAGACCAGTCTGGACAACTTGGCGAGACCTCAGCTCTACAGTAAATCAAAAAATTAGCCAGGGGTGGTGACGCACGCCTGTGGTTCCAGCTACTTGGAAGGCTGAGGCAATAGGATCACCTAAGCCCAGCAAATTGAGGCTGTGGTGGCCGTGAGTGTGCCACTGCATTCCAGCCTGGGCGACAGAGAGAGACTCTAACTCAAAAATACATACATACATACATACATACATACATACATACATATATACATATATACATATATAAAAGTTGTTGAGGCCAGGCTCAGTGGCTCAGCCTGTCATCCCGGCTGGGAGGCCGAAGCGAGTGGATTGCCTGAGCCCGCAGGTTCAAGACCCGCCTGGGCAACTTGGCGAGAC